AGCAGCAGCAACAGCAACAGCAGCAGCAGCAGATGCAGCAGCAGATGCAGCAGCAGAAGACGCAACAGCAGCAGAAACAGACACAAGGCTACACTTCTTGCTGCTGCTTCCTCTCCAGTCGCTGCTGCTAGAGATTCGGTGAGTGCTGCTGCGTCTGCCGCATTGCTGCTGCTGCCGCAGCTGCTGCTGCTGCTGCAGCTGCCGCAGCAGCTGCTGCTGTCTACAGAGGCAGAAGAGCAGCAACGCCCACTACCAGCAGCGGCGAAGCACCTCCGCAGCAGCATCAGCAACAGCAGCACCAGGGGCATTAGCAACCGCAGCGGCAGCAGCAACAGCAGCAGCAACAGCAGCAGCAGCAGCAGCAGCAGCAGCAGCAACTTGCCCGTGCACCGGCGAGCGTTTGAGGAGGAGAGAGCGGCAAGGCATCGTCAGCGGGGCGTTCATAGCAGCAGGCCATCGAGGCACCCCAATACGCAAGAACTCTGCAGCAGCAACAGCAGCAGCAGCAACGGCAGCAGCAGCAGCAGCAGCAGCAGCAACAGCAGCAGCGCGAGTACGAAAGTGAAGAAACAGCAAACGGCTGCAGCAGCAGCACCACAGACAAGACAAGCTCCACCGACAGACGAAGGTGGCTGCTGCTGCTAACTCAAGGTGGCACCGAGCCAGCAGCAGCAGCAGCAGCAACAGCAGCAGCAGCAGCAGCAGCAGCAGCAGCAGCAGCAGAAAGGAGACGCACCAGAACGCAGCCGCCCAGATTCAAGGGATTCCTCTTTAATGCGCAGCAGCTGCTGCTGCAGCGGGGACGGGAGGGCACCATCCACCTGCAGCAGCAACAGCAGCAGCAGCAGCAGCAGCAACAGCAGCACGAACATCTGCAGCAACCACAACTGTAGCAGCAGCAAGTGAAGCAGCGGCAATTGCAGCAGCAGCAACTGCAGCAAAGACAGCTGCAGCAGCAGCAAGTGAATCAATGAGAAGAAACCGCAGCAAAAGAACGCCTGTTCTTGCTGCTGCTGTTGCTGCTGTTGCTGCTGCTGCTGTTGCTGTTGCTGCTGCTGCTGCTGCTGCTGCTGCAGCTGCTCTGACACCTCACCTGCAGCAGGAAGCCTGGGAATAGCTGCGGTTTTACCCGCCGCAGCAGCTGCTGCAGTTGCTGCTGCTGCTGCTGCTGCTGCCCCGCCGGTCTGCCACCACGGCCCCTACGTCCTCCCCTGCGAGCAGCATTGGGCGCTGCTGCTGCTGCTGCTGCTGCTGCTGCTGCTGTTGTGTCAGCTGCTGCTGCAGTGGAGACGTCTTCTGCTGCTGCTGCAGGCGACAGCCGCAGCACGGAGCAGCAAGGAGGATAGAACCGCCGCACGAGGGAGAAGCGCCCCATTTGCTGCACTGTAACACAAGGAGCAGCAGCTGCTGCTGCTGCATCTGCTGCTGCTGCTTCTGCTGCTGAGGCAGCTGGGCGTGCTGCTGCTGCTGCTGCTGCACGCGAAGACAAACGCAACAGTCTTTCAAAGGCAAGACGCTTACGTGGTGGCTCGAAATCTCTGCTGCTGCTGCTGCTGCCGCTGCTGCTGCTGCTGTTGCTGCTGCTGTTGCTGCTGTTTCTGCTGCTGCTGCTGCTGCTGCTGCTGCTGCTCTGCAAGTGCGACAAGAGCTGCTGCCGCCACCTGCTGCGGAGACACCTCACAACGAGAACAGCAAATCGATTGTCTGCTTCGCTCCAAGGTATGTCCTGCGTCGTGCTGCTGCTGCTGCTGCTGTTGCTGCTGCTGCTGCTGTCGCTGCTGCTGCTGCTGCTGCCGTATGTCACGTGCAGCAGCTGATGCAGAAGCCACAGTGCTGCCTCCTGCTGCTGCTGCGGAGCCTCTGGAAGAAGTACACAATTATATGCGCTGCTGCTGCTGCTGCTGCTGCTGCTGCTGCTGCTATTTGTGCTGCTGTTGCTGCTGCTGTTGCTGCTGCAGAAGTGACAGCGATAACACAGCAGCTGCAGCACCTGAGCATCGGTTCGCAGCAGCAGCTGAAGCGCATGCAGCAGCAGCAGCCGCATGCAGCTGCCCCGTCCATGCAGCAGCAGCCAGCGTGCTCGAGCTGCCTGTACACCTGAAAGCCCCTCAAAGAGCTCTCCTTCCTGCAGCTCCTGCTGCTGCTGCTGCTGTTGTTGCTGCTGCTGCTCCTCCTCCTCCTGCTGCTGCTGCAGCGGCCGTTTCTGTGGTGTCGCTGCAGCGGCGCTATCGGGCTCGCTCTTGACACGTGTGCTGCTGTGCTGCTGCTGCTGCTGCTGTTGCTGCTGCTGCTGCTGCTGCTGCTGTGGACAGGGTTCAAATACATCGAAGAGGCCGCCAGGGTGCGACAGCAGCAGAGCAGCAAGATCTTTTGCTGCTGCTGCTGCTGCATCAGGGGGCTGTCTTAGGAAGAAGTAACGGCTGCCGCGCTCGCTGTGCCGCAGGTTCTCAGCGCAGTACCAGCTGCTGCTGCTGCTGCTGCTGCTGCTGCTGCTGCTGCCTGTTGCTGCACCAGCAGCAACAAGATCCACGAGCTCTTTTAACGAAGGAGGATTTGACAGAGCTGCTGCAGCTGCTGCAGCAGCAACTTTTGCTTCTGCTGCTGCTGCCACTTTTGCTGCAGCTGCTGCTGCAATTTCTGATGCCTCTGCTGGTGCCGGTGCTGCAGCTGCTGCAGTTGCCGCTGCTGCTGCTGCTGCTGCTGCTGCTGCTGCTTCTCCTTTCGCAGCTAGTGCTTTCGGTAGTGGCTTCCTCTCGCCTTCGACTGTTGCAGCAGCAGCAGCAGCAGCAGCAGCAGCTGCTGCTGCTGCTGCTGCTGCATCTGTTCCCTCCTCTTGCCTTCCAGTTGTCGGTGGTGGTACTGNGCAGCTGCTGCTGCTGCTGCTGCTGCATCTGTTCCCTCCTCTTGCCTTCCAGTTGTCGGTGGTGGTACTGCTGAAGCTGCAGCAGCAGCAGAAGCTGCAGCAGCTGCAGCAGCAGCAGCAGCATGACCCTCTTCTGGCGCGAATAAGGGCGCCGCTGGGTTTGAAAATCCGTGCTGCTGCTGCACGTGCTGCTGCTGCTGAGCCTGCTGCTGCTGCTGCACCTGTTGCTGCTGCTGAAGGTGCTGCTGTTGCTGCTGTTGCTGCATCTGTTGCTGCTGAAGCTGCTGCTCCTGCTGCTGCTGCTGATGCTGCAGCTGTTGCTGCTGCACCTCTTGAGTAGCAGCAGCAATTGTTGCTGCAGATTCTGCTGCAGCAGCAGCAGCTGCGGCTGCTGCAGCAGCTGCTGCTGCTGGTGGTGCAGTTATGCCTGGATGCAGCTGTTGCTGCAGCTGCACCTGGTTCTGCTGCAGCTGCTGCTGTTGCAGCTGCTGTTGTTGCAGCTGCTGCTGATGCAGCTGCTGCTGCTGTAGCTGTTGTTCCTGCAGCTGCTGCTGTTGTAGCTGCTGCTGCTGCAGTTGTTGCTGCTGCAGTTGTTGCTGCTGCAGTTGTTGCTGCTGCAGCACGAGACGAGCGGGTGCAGCAACATCCGCGGGTCCGCTGGATGCTCTGTTGCTGCTGTCGTTGCTGCTGCTGCTGCTGCTGCTGTTGCTGCTGCTGCTGCTGCTGCTGGCTGGGCCTGCCTTCGGCTTACCTCTGCCGCGAGGCGCTGCAGCAGCACCCCTCCCCCTTCTCGAGCCCCTCGCGCGGCTGTGCTGCTGCGGCTGCCGCTGCTGCTGCTGCTGTTGCGGTTGCTGCTGTTGCTGCTGGCGGAGCTGCTGCTGCTGCTGTCTTAGGTGCTGCTGTAGCGGTAGATGCTGCTGCTGCTGCTGCTGCTGCTGCTGATTCAAAAACTGCTGGTGATGCGACTGTCCTTGTTGTTGGAACTGTGCGAGGTGCTGCTGCTGCTGTTGCTGCAGGTGCTGCTGCTGCAGACTTGCTGCAGCAGCAGCAGCAGCAGCAGCAGCAGAGCGAACACTTTCATCGTCGCTGCTGTCAGATGAGGTGTCAGAGCAGCAGGAAGAAGAAGACAGCAGCGCGGGGTCCCAGCCGCTCTGCATCTTCCTGCAGCAGCTGCTGCTGCNCAGGAAGAAGAAGACAGCAGCGCGGGGTCCCAGCCGCTCTGCATCTTCCTGCAGCAGCTGCTGCTGCTGCCTTTGCTGCAGCAGCAGCAGCAGCAGCAGCAGCGCTAGCAGCAGCTGGGGGTGCTGCCGTGCCTGCTGCTGCTGCTGCTGCTGCTGCAGAACTCTCTCGTGGCTGCACAGCCGGCAGCAACAGCATCTGTGTGTTTCAGCTGCAGCTGCTGCAGGCTGTTGCACCTACAGTGCGTCTGCTGCTCCGCACTCTGCTGTTGCTGCTGCTGCTGCTGCTGCTGCTGCTGCTGCTGCTGCTGGAGGTTGTCGCGGTTGCTGCTCCTCTACACAGCCGGCGGGGTGTGAGGGCAGCAGCAGATCAGCAGCTTAAGCGTTTGCTGCTGCTGCGTCTGCTGCAGCCTCCTTAGGGCTGGTTGCTGCATGCGCCATGCTGCTACTTCTGCTGCTGCTGCTGCTGCTGCTGCTGCTGCTGCTGCTGTTGCTGCTAGTTCAGCGGATGTGTATTCGTTGTCTTCGCGTCGGTAGGGCCTTTTAGCCCTCCACTATAGAGTTTGTTGCTGCTGCTGCTGCTGCTGCTACTGCTTATGTGCTGCTGCAGTCTGCTGCTGCATGCATTGCGTGTTGCTGCTGGGGCTGGTCCCTCTCCAGCCACCGCTGCTGCTGCTGTTGCTGCTGCTGCTGCTGCTGCTGCCGACTGCTCGTTTCTCTTGTTCTTTCTCTCTGAAAAAACTGCTTAGTGCTGCTGTCTTGGCCCTTGAGGCACCTCTCCCGCTGTGCGCGTGTTGCTGCTGCTGCTGCTGCTGCTGCTGCTCCAGCAACACAGCAGCAGCAACTCCTCGTCTTGCTGCTGCATCTTATTCGTTTCTGGGTAACAACGAAGTCTGTTTCATACAGACTCTCCAGCAGCAGCAGCAGCTGCTGCTGCCGCACCAAACCCCCTCAGCAGC